CGGTCCGGCGCTTGGAGCTCGTCTACCGTCTGCGAGGTGAGGGTGACCGGATGCCCATTTTATGGAAGAAGATATTGAGGTTCAAAAGGGGGTTAAAGGCAGAATTTGGTCTCTGCCCCCTCCCCCACCTCCCTACACGTGCACACTCCTAACCTTGTCCTCCAGCCCCAACCCCACCTCCCCTACTGGAAACCTTGAGATTATGCGCCAAGCAGCCAAGCGCCAGGAAAAAGCCTTGGGGAGCGAGCAGCAGCTGGAAGAACCCGAGGCGGCCTTTTTGTCCCGCAGCCCTCCCTGCAGTCCCATTTCACAGAGGAAACCGAGGCCCTGCAGGCAGACCAGCAGTTCCAGATACTCAGGAACCTCGCTGCTCTGGGCTCAGGCGGTTCACTTCTTCCACGCGGTTTCACTAAGGCAGGGACTTTGTGGGCTTAATGGACTCTGCTTCCCACTACTCCCCAAGGCTTAATGGCTGGCACAGTGAGGCCCCCTACCAATATCTATTGAAAGAATGTGCATTGCAGGTGCTCGATAAATATTTGTTGACTGAACGATGAAGGAATAGGGGCTTTGTTTATGAACAAGACAGACTGGACTCCTGCTTTCTCATAACTGCATTCTAGGCTGGGAGGGACAGAATAAGATAGATCCATCAGCAAATGCATCAACAAATGCATCGGGCCTTGTTGGGTGATGTAAAAGGAATAAAATAAAGGTAGCGGATAGTGGGGTGGCAGGGTTGGTGAGCCTCTTTAATTGGGTGGTCAGAAGGTGGCAGTGAAGAAACCAACTCTGGGGAAACGAGGCCCAGGAGGGAACTGGGGACAGATGGAGGTCATGGAGGGTAATTATGCGGCTTTAAGCAGGGTGGGGCTACCGGTACCTTGGTCAAGGTGGCCCTTGGCTCTCAGGAGGACAATTCAGCCACCCCTGAGGGAGATCTGAATAACATAACAATGTGAGGAACCCTGACCCTGAGGGTCCAGGAGCAGGACTGGGGGGGTGGGGGGCAGCCGGGTTAGTACATGAAATCCACTCAGTGCTGGAGTGCTGGGCTGGGGAGTCTGGGGCAGGGCAGACTGCGGCCCTGACCTTAAGGAGCCTTGTATAGGGTGGGGGAAGGGAGAGCACAGTCAAGAAACCGTTCTGTATTACGATGTGGTTGGTGTCAGGAAGAAAAGAAAACTTGTAAGGGTTGGAGGGTGGGGCAGGGTGTTGATGCCACTTCAAACAGTGATCTGAAAGAGCTGCTTTGAGGAGGGAAGTTCAAGGAGGCTGAGTGGAGAGAGGTAAGACAGTGGCCATTTGGCTTTCGTGGCTATTCCCGGTGTCGGAGCAGAGTAGATGTGTACACGATCGTAATCTTCTTCTGCTCAAACCCCCCCAAGACTCACCTCTCCAAAAACCAAGACTTTCAAGTGGTCAAAAGACCCTCTCGCAGCTGACTCCATTTTCTCAGAGCTCAACCCCCCTCCTGTCCGTCTCCTCCCTCCTTGTTATTTATTATTACTATTATTATCATTATTATTATTTTGTATAGTGAAAGTGGAAATTTATTGAAGAACAAGTACAGACTCCCAGGTGGGGAAGGGGAAAGAATCTCACAGCACAGACTCCCAAGTGGGGAGGGGAAAAGAGTCCCTCCTCCTTGTTATTGAACAGAGACTGGCTGACTCCCTCACATCCCTCAGGTCTCAACTCCACCATACCTTTCCCTGGTGTGGGGAGAAAATTGAGCCCCCCCCCACACACACACACACACGTCACCCTGCCCCTTTATAACTCTTCCTAGCTTTGTTTGGCTTCAGGTGACACTGGTCACCCAAGAAGGAACTCTATTTTAAATAGTTATCTTGTTGAGCGTAATCTCCCTGAACCAGTAAACTCGGGGGCGGGGGGGCAGGGATTATTGTCTGTTGGGTTCGCTGCCATGTCCCCAGTGCTTAGAACAGTACCTGGTGCACCAAAGGCACTCGATAAAGGTTTGCCCAGTGAATTTTTATTATGTATTTACTGAAAGAGTCCAAGATACTGTTAGGGGCACAGTTAGAAACGTAGCCCCTACCGTTTTCTCCCTCCTGGGTGTTTGTGGGGGTGCTGAGCCTCAGTTTCACCAGCCCTAAAACGGGATCTGAAGTCGCCGTTTCTACGCTGGCCGCGTGAGCTCGGTGCCCTTAGGTGTAGTCCTTAAGCCAATCCCCGTGGGCACGGCTCAGACTGAGCTTGGCCTCCAGCCGGGCCCCTGCGGACCGCCCCTTCGTCTCCCACCAGGCCCCGCCCCCCGGTGGGCGGAGC